AAAAAAAAAATCGGCAAAATAATCCGGGGAAGAACGGAAAATTGGGGAAAGAACGGAGAAGAACGGAAAATTGGGGAAAGAGAGAGAGATTAAGAAAAACTTGAATGAAAGTCAGTTTTTTCGCGAAAGCCCTTGCTTGTTGGGGAAACTGAAAGCGAAAGACAAAAGAGGAGGTCTCAGACTTCACTCGCCGAATAATTAAAGAGAGATTAGTATTGTGTGGATAATTAGACTGACATGTCATATTACACGTCAGGGAGTACTTGATACGGTGAAAAACATACGGGAGAAGGAGTTTTTTCCAAATTCCATACATTATTGATCATTTCTATGCACACATTTCTATACACTATGATAAGATAAGGTAATAATGTTACTACTTACTAGTGATTAAATTTCACTTGTTTATAACAGAAAACACGAAAGATAGTGCATTATATGCAATTTTGCCAAAAAGAAAACAAATTTTACTTTAATTTGGAGCTCCAATTATTGTGGTTTTTGTCACTTAGCAAATATCTCGAGCTCAGTTCTTTCATTGGGATTGGGATTGGCCAGCCAAGCCATCCCCAATAATATAACTCATTCTTCTCTTATTTGGTCTCATGATAAAATCCCATGTGAATACCGACCAAACTTTCAAAATACACACTTGGCCGAAAATAATCTCTGTTAGATAAGCAATATTCTTTTCAAGTTGTTTGGACTATCGGAAGCAAGAAAAAGGGATGGAAGAGGATGGGATTCAGGAGTGCAGCGTGAGGTTATTAGGTAGCAGCGCCAGCGGCGGGAGTGGTGGCGCCGCTTCCGGTGGCGGCGGCGGCGGGTCATGGAGGTGGGTGGATGGGAGTGAATTGGACTCTGAGTCCTCCCACTGGGCAGCTGTCGATGAAGAAAATAATGGAGAAGGGTATGGTGGCTCTGTTAGGAGAAGGCTAATAAAGAAGCCCAAAAGAGTTGATTCATTTGATGTTGAGGCAATGGAGATTGCTGGTGCTCATGGTCACCATATGAAGGTTTTTAAGATTAATAATTCAAAAAAAAAAAAAATCCAATCTTTGGATAGTTTTTGCGGTCTTGTTGTGATGCGTGTAGGTGATTGCTCAATCTTTTTTACTTTATGTATTCGTGTGTGTTGTGTTTCTTTATTTCATTTGATGCTTTGCCTATATAGGTTTGGTGCTTCATTGGGATTGCTATATTTGGATTGTATGTTTAGACAGTGAGTTTACAGTTAATCAACATATGGGTTGGAGAAGATTTGTTGTGTATTATTGGACCTAATTGAATCGGTTGTGGGGTTTTAGCATGTGAAGGACTGTGGCTTGTGCTTCAGATTTAGTAATGGTGGTGCTTTTTACATGTATGCTTTTGCGCGAAACTTTGACGTGGACTTGAAATTACTACGTTTAGGTTCTTCTTTCAGTTTATCATTATTAACATTGTCACTACTTTTATTATCTATCACTTTGCTTTCCTGTAGTACTGTGTTAATTTGCTGTGGCCGGTCGTAATCTGAAAAACGACAGATATTGTTAATCAAATTATCATCAGCTGTTTATCATTATTACTATTCATCATTTTCTGGCGATGAAGATATTTAAATGGTATGCAGGATGATTCCGTTTGGGTAACGATAGCATTGGCATTTCAAACGCTAGGTGTAGTGTATGGAGACATGGGCACAAGTCCGCTGTACGTATTTTCCGAGGTATTTAGTAAGGTGCCCATTACTTCAGAAGTTGATGTCTTGGGAACCTTGTCGCTAGTAATGTACACGATTGCCCTAATTCCTCTAATAAAGTATGTCTTTGTAGTGCTGAAGGCGAACGATAATGGAGAAGGTATTACCCGATCATTGTTGAAAAACTGTAATTTGCTTGGATGTTAATTACAAAACCCAAGATTAATTCATAATTCAATATTACACATTAATTGAAGTTCCCTTCTAGAGTTACATAATTTTCCAAAGAAAAGAATATCATTGACACCTCTTATTGGTTCAATAACAGGTGGAACATTTGCATTGTACTCGTTGATCTGTAGGTATGCCAATGTTAATCTTCTTCCTAACCGTCAGCCTGCAGACGAACGTATTTCAAGCTTCAAGCTCAAGCTACCAACTCCTGAACTAGAGAGGGCTTTGAATATAAAAGAAGTATTGGAGCACAGGTCGTATTTGAAGAAAGCTCTTTTATTGCTTGTCCTTATGGGGACGTCTATGATTATTGGGGATGGTATTCTAACTCCAGCCATGTCAGGTATCATCCAAATAGTTTAAATCTTTCAGATTAACTGTCGCGAAATTATTTATTGAAAGTCTTACACAAAGCACGTGTAAATTAAATATGTTATATTCTCTTCCGCCATAGGTTGATTCACTTTTGTGCCATTCTATTCATCAATGTGATGTATTGTCGTTGAATGCATCACTTGTACTGGAAATCAAATGATACATAGATCAACAGTGTCCAGTGTCCTTACCTGCCCAAAAAAAAAAAAAAAAAAAAAGCATTTTATGCTGTTCTACTTATTTGTTATATTAATCCAAAATCATTGCTCATGGTAATCTGCTAAAGGGAGAAGTTAGAATGCATGTTATCCTTTTGTACTGCTGGAAATTATTACCAGTGTGATTGCTTCATTATTTCACCCTCTCACTTTGCACTTCATCCCCTATTTTATTGTAGTTATTATTATTATTTTTTCAGTTATGTCTGCTGTGAGCGGTCTGGAGGGTCGGATACCTGGATTTGGCACAGGTGGGTATGCCTCATTATCCATCTTATTATTTTTTCTGCTCTCTCTCTCTCTCTCTCTCCCTCTCTCTCTGTCTTTCTGTGGTGGATGTTTGGTATATTAGATGAAAATCTTGTAGGGACTGTAAATTTAGTTACTTTATCATTTATATTGCAGATGCCCTTGTTGTTACTTCGATTGTGATCCTTGTGATACTGTTTAGCATACAGAGCTTCGGAACAGGTAAAGTAGGATTCATGTTTGCTCCTGCGCTTGCATTGTGGTTCTTTAGTTTGGGATCAATCGGGGTTTACAATCTGTTCAAGCACGACATTACTGTTGTGAGGGCGATAAATCCTTTCTACATATACCTTTTCTTCAAGAAGAATAGCACCAAGGCATGGTCGGCACTTGGTGGTTGTGTTTTATGTATCACAGGTTAGCTCTATCCCGTCTTTTTAATGTTTTTCTGCATTTCCAAAGACAGGATTTGTTGCCTTGTTGTACAGGAAATAGAGAAAATGGAGTTTCAAATTATAATTTGTTGTAAATATTTCATGCATGGCTTGTATATGATGGAATTTTCTAACAGAACCAATCTGCTGTCAGAAAACAGAGTCGAGGTGCTGTCTGCTTGTTGATTATTTCTCATTTTTCAGGATAAAGAGTTATAACGTAAAATAGAGTATGCAATTCTACGTTTTGTATAATTCTAGAGCACTAGACGATAGTTACTTGAGCATTTGGTGCAGCAACTAAATTGCTTATAACTTTAAATTGCTGTATAAAGTTCAGAATTGTGATCTCATATTAATTTACTTGATGACGAAACACGACCATCTGGTAGTTTACACTTTCCTTTAAGTATCTGTTATATAATCAAATTTCCTTTATCAGATTAACAAAGAATGATTTTTATACTTCAGCTTGTTACTATAATAGAAACAATACAATTTTTATACTTCAACGTAGCTGTTGGTTTACCTTTTAACCGTAAAATGACCTGTGAATGACATTTGCAGGTGCAGAAGCCATGTTTGCTGATTTAGGTCATTTCTCTGTACCATCCATTCAGGTTCTGTACTGTTTTACTTGGTTTACTTTTGTACAGTCTCGCGTGGTCCATTTTTGTTTTTCGCTATTTTCGAATTAAGTTGATTAACTTTCACAGATTGCTTTTACGACTGTAGTCTTTCCCTGTCTCCTCTTTGCTTATATGGGCCAAGCTGCCTATCTTATCAAACATCCTCATTCAGCTGAAAGAATATTTTATGAATCTGTTCCAGGTGATGATTTCTACCCACCCCTCCTCCGACTTCTTAATTCCCATTTTCTTATATGCTAGTTTTGATATGATAAGGATGTTTTTGACATTAGTGGTTGAAAAATGTTGGACAGAGGGCCTTTTCTGGCCGGTTTTTGTGACGGCCACGGTTGCTGCCATAATTGCTAGTCAGGCCATGATATCTGCTTCGTTTTCGTGCGTGAAGCAAGCCATGGCTCTTGGGTGCTTCCCGAGGTTGAAGATCATTCACACTTCTAGAAAACTGATGGGTCAAATTTACATTCCTGTGATAAACTATTTCTTGATGGTCATGTGCATTATCGTGGTTGCTGTTTTCAGAAGCACAACACAAATCGCCAATGCATACGGTTAGTGTTTCTCACCCCTTTTCTACTGAAAGTTGGTAATTCTTCAAGACTGTTTAATTTTTATTTATTTATTTATTCATTTTTTAGGCATTGCGGAGGTCGGGGTGATGATGGTGAGTACGGCGCTAGTGACCCTGGTGATGCTCCTCATCTGGCAGACGAGCCTCCTTTTTGCTCTTTCCTTCCCTCTCGTCTTCGGCTGCGTGGAGCTCGTCTACCTTTTGGCTGTCCTCACAAAAATTGCCGAGGGTGGGTGGGTCCCACTCGCCTTCGCCTCCTTCTTCCTCTGCGTCATGTACGCATGGAACTACGGCAGCGTCCTCAAGTACTGCAGCGAGGTCCGCGCAAAGATACCGACGGACCTGATGCTCGAGCTCGGCTCCTCCCTCGGCACCGTGCGGGTCCCGGGCATCGGCCTCGTTTACAATGAGCTCGTCCAAGGTGTCCCCTCCGTGTTTGGCCGCTTCCTGCTCGACCTCCCGGCCATACACTCGACTATCGTCTTTGTGTGCATCAAGTACGTCCCGATACCCGTGGTCCCACAGGAGGAGCGGTTTTTATTCAGACGGGTTTGCCCGAAAGACTACCACATGTTCCGGTGCATTGCGAGGTATGGTTACAAGGACGTGCGTAAGGAGGACCACCGCGCATTCGAGCAGCTTCTGGTCGAGAGCCTCGAAAAATTTCTGAGGAAGGAGTCTCAGGAGCTTGCATTGGAGGGAGATTTGAACGATCCAGATCTCGATAGAGTTTCGGAGGAGCTTCGGGTGCCGGTGATGTGGGATGGAGAGAAAAACGTGATGGAGGATCCGGGACTGGAGTACGAGCTGGCGGCGTTGAGGGAGGCGAGCGAGTCGGGCTTCACGTACTTGTTGGGGGATGGGGATGTACGGGCGGCAAAGGACTCGTTTTTCCTGAAGAAGTTGGTGGTTAACTATTTTTATGCGTTTCTGAGGAGGAACTGCAGGGGAGGTGCGGCGACGATGAGGGTTCCCCATATGAATATTATGCAGGTTAGGATAACATATACTGTGTGATGCTTTGTTTTTTTCTTTTTTTGGTCAAGTGTGTGTTAGAATGTGGTAAGTAGTGATATGGTATTGTTGTTGTGTTTGCTGGGTTTTCTTTGCAGCAGATGTACGGATGTTTTCTTGCTAAGAAAGGAAACAATGTTGTTGTCTTAAATATCCAATCTTTTCACTTTTACCACCCCTATATAAATTACTTCTAATCAGTTTACATACTACATGTTTAGTCCGTCCATTAGTTTTGATACAAATAGTTAGTCAGCCGTCTTTGACCGACGCTCGACTTGTTACAGTAGGTGAAAACGTTAGGGTGTTTACGGTCCGGATTTCGGTTTTAGCCCAAATCATGACCAAACCGGACCTAACGGTTAATTTTTTTTTTTTTTTTGTCTATAACCGAACCGGTTTTATTTTTTAAACGGCCACAATCCGGACCGCATTGGACGGTCCGGTTTGGCGGTTAACCGGTTAAATCCAAAATCCTTGTTTTGGGCCTTCAATTTTTATTTATTTTCATTTTGGGTTTAATTTTTATTTTTCAATTTTAAGCCCAGAAGATATTATTTGAGTCTAAAAATTGAGAAAAACAACAATAATGAAATAAAAAATACACAATTCGTCCCATAAACATAAAAATACACATTTTATCCCAAAAAATTAGGAAGAGGAGGTGGGAAAATTTGAAAATGAAAAAACGAAGGTGGGAAAAAGTGAAAAGTTATAGTGTCTTACAAAATTAAGTCAACAAAAGACTAAAAAGTAAAAATGTATTGTATTTGTCGGTCATAGTGAATGACTGAATGTATATCTATTTGTTATAATTTTTTAATATTTATCGGTCCGGTCCGGTTAAACCGGCGGTTTGCCGCAAGTAATCCGTTAACCGGACCGGTTATTCGGAATTTTTTAAAAAAAAATTAACCACCGAATTTCTTAAAGTTTTTTTAACCGACTATTTAACCGATCCGCGGTCCGGATTGACGGTTTTTTCGGTTAAAACCGGACCGTGAACACCCTTAGAAAACGTGGTATAAAAGGGGAAAATTTTACTCCTCTCTTGTGTTAGCAAGAGAAGTCGACCTTCAACAAAATAAATTCAGAAAGGAAAAAAAATA